GGCCACCCAGCTGGCTTCATGTGGAGGCGTGGGGAATCAAACCCGGTTCTCCCAGATTAGAGTCCACACTCCTAACCCCTACACCAAACTGGCTCTCAGGCTTCTGATTGATAAAGAATGCTTGTTGAGCCCTCAGAATGTGGGGAGTGGGTTTTTCAACAGCACTTCCCACAGCTCAGTCCAGCAAACACAAGGCTGATTCCAGAGCCAGTGAATGATGGTGTCATTTAGGCAATCTGTAACCTGCTTTTTGCTTCCCCAAATCTTCAAAGCCTGGAAGGAGTACTGAAAGAAGCGGCAGCTTCAAACCGACACGAGCGAGCCCTGTCGTACAGCCTGGAACAACCTGGATGGCTTTTATGTTGCATTTTTCTTTTTTGTTGCTTTACGTTTTCAGGGCTCTTTTTGTAGAAAAAGCCCAGCAGGAACTCATTAGCATAATAGGCCACACCCAACAGCAGGAACTCATTAGCATATCGGGCCACACCCCTGACAGCACAGCTCATTAGCACATTAGGCCGCACCCACATGTTACCAGAAGTGTGGTTATCCAGCCACACCCACCTTTCCCTTGTTATTCTGTTTACCTTGTTTGTTGTCAAAACCCTGGGCTTTTTTTGTAGCAGGAACTCCTTTGCATGTTAGGCCACACACCCCTAATGTAGCCAGTCCTAATGAGTTCCTGCTGTTGGGTGTGGCCTATTATGCTAATGAGTTCCTGCTGGGCGTAGCCAACTTGGGAGCCAACCGGAACTCCGTTCTTGTGTGTTCCTGCCCAAAAATCGCCCTGACGTCGTTTGTTGCATGCTGCTTTAAAAAAATTTTTTTGGAAAGCACCCTAAAAATGCAGCAAATGAAACCAGAGGTCAACCGGGCCCCCAAACTCATCTTCCCACAATGCAAAGGAATTTTGGGGGGTGGGTGTTAACAGAACTGGCAGGGGCCAATGGAAGTAATCGTTTGCGGCTGGATGGGGTCGATAGAAGAGGAGGAGATTGGATTTCTACCCCGCCCTTCACTGCCCAAAGGAGTCTCAGAGCGACTTACAATCTCCCTTCCCCTCCCCACAACAGACACCCTGTGAGGCAGGTGGTGCTGAGAGAGCTCTTTTGAGGACTGCTCTTGGCAGAACAGCTCTGAGAGCACTTATGACTGACCCAAGGTCACACCAGCAGCTGCATGTGGAGGAGTGGGGAATCAAACCCGGTTCTCCCAGATTAGAGTCCGCGCTCCTAACCGCCACACCAAACCGGCTCTCTGTTGGAGTGGACATGGAAGTTCTTTAAAAAAAATGGTGGAAGTGAAAAATTTGGTTCCAGTTATCTGGGAAGCGGGAGCTCTCGCTATACCTCCGTCTTTCCGCCTCTTGCAGGCTGTGTGGTATCGTGGGTGACGTGCTTACAGACGGGGGTGGGGGTGATTGCAGGACCTAGCACAGAGTTCTCGGTGCCCTGTGTTGCCCGTACCTCCTCGGCTGTGCTGGGGAGATCAGAGGCCCTGCTGCTGCAGCTGCTGCTTGGATTCCACCAGGGCCGAGAGGAGCCTCATGGCCTCATCCAGTTTGCTGTCCAAGGCCTCGATCCGCTTCTCCAGCTCCCGGTGAGAGTTGCTGAGGCTGGAGCTGAGGTCACACATGATCATCTGCATCTGCCGGGGGAAGGACACGGTTGGCCGGTTAACCCTGGGTTCGTGGTTTCTGTCACCCCGAAGACAGCCTGTAGGTGGCGCTGTGTCCCTTGGGAATGGGCCGGCGGGAGGCCGTCCTGTACCCAGAGCTGGCCACAAAGCACGCAGAAAGAACTTGGGGGCTTAGCTACGCTGCCAGCTCGTGCTGGTTTTTTAAAGCCGTGGCATTGTCACGGTGCTTGCCCACGGAGTTGGGGGATTCCAGTGAGGTGGAAGGGCTGAACGTTCTCTTTTCGAGTGCACATTCTGGTGTTACCCATCCAGTGCTGCTGCTGCTGCTGCTGCCTTGTGGGATAAAAAAACCTCACACATGGGAGCAGAGCGGTAAAAGGGGGATGCAGAGTTTCGCGTATACCTGGGGGGAAATTGGGTAGATCAAGATGGGTAGCCGTTGTTTGTCTGTAGCAGAGAAGAATAAGAGTCCAATGGCACCTTAAAGACTGACAAAACTTGTGGCAAGGTAGGAGCTTTCGTGAGTCATTATGGCATTATTAAATGTATACCTAAAGAATTCAAATTCTACCGGGAGGAGATGAGGTTTTTAGATATATCTGAGGGTGTGTGTGTGTGTGTGTGTAGGTTTCCCTTGCTCGAAAGCCAGTCGAATCCGACTCTAGGGTTGCGGTGCTCATCTCCGTTTCCAAGCCTAAGAGACAGCGCTGTCCGAAGACGTTTCCGTGGTCATGTAGCCAGGCATGACTAAACGCCGAGGTGCACGGAATGGAGGTCCATCAGTGGCTATTAGCCACAAGGTATAGATAGGAACAGCGTTCCGTGCACCTTGGTGTTTAGTCATGCCGGCCACATGACCACGGAAACGTCTTCGGACAGTGCTGGCTCTTCGGCTTTGAAACGGAGATGAGCACCGCAACCCTAGAGTCAGATTCGACTGGCTTTCGAGCAAGGGAACTTTTACCTTTACCTATAGATAGGGACTCTGGGGCAAGTGATGCTCTGTCATCTTGGTGCTTGGGGGGGGGTCAACAGTGGGAGGGCTTCTAGTGTCCTGGCCCCACTGGTGGACCTCCTGATGGCACTTGGTATTTTTGGCCACTGTGTGACAGAGTGTTGGACTGGATGGGCCTTTGGCCTGATCCAACATTGGTGTCTCTTATGTTATGTTCTTAATGCTGTTACCTTCCCACTGAAGCGGTACCTATTTATCTACTTGCAGTTTCTTACTTTCGAACTGCCGAACTACAGACCTTCCAGCCTGCAGTTCAGCAGTTCGTATACACACACACACACACTTCATTTTCTCCCAGTAGAAAAGAGCAAGAGTCCAGCAGACTGACAAAATTTGTGGCAGGGTATGAGTTCTGATGAGTCACTGCTCACTTTCTCAGGCCTACGAAATGATGTCGTGATGACTCACGGAAGCATCTACCCTGCCACATGTTTTGTCAGTCTTTAAGGTGCCATTGGACTCTTCTCTGCTACAAACAAATACGGCTACCCATCGTGAACCACCTAATTTTCTCCAAAGTATAAGGGAAACTCTGGGGCAAAGGGGGACAAAAGGGGAGTCAGATGAGCAGTGCAGCGGTCAGGGCACCGACACTGTTTGGGCACTTCCCTTTACTTGTGGGAGACTTCTGGCTGCCCAGGTGAGGGACAGATCCCTGCATAGAAAGCGCCCAAGTCAAGAGAGGGGAGAATGGTGGAGTGGATTCTGTAGATGGAATAGAATGCCACAGGGTACGGAAGATTGGCCTTCAGATGGGATGGAAGGGCTCGGCCTACGGAATGGGCTTGCCGATGGAATGGAATGGCTCGGCCTTATGATTCACCAAAAGGGGTAATACCCCAGATTCAAATTCTCGCAGGGCAGCCGTGTCTGTTGTCGCTAAAATAGCCAAGAGTTGTGTGGTAACAAGAAGAAGAAGAGGAAGAAGAGGAAGGAGGAAGAAGGAGGAAGGAGGAGGAAGAAGAAGAGGAGGAAGGAGGAGGAAGAAGGAAGAAGAGGAAGAAGAGGAAGGAGGAGGAAGAAGAAGGAAGAGGAAGGAGGAGGAAGAAGAAGGAAGAGGAAGGAGGAGGAAGAAGAAGGAAAAGGAGGAAGGAGGAGGAAGAAGAAGAGGAAGGAGGAGGAAGAAGAAGGAAGAAGAAGAGGAAGGAGGAGGAAGAAGAGGAGGAAGGAGGAGGAAGAAGAAGAAGAAGAGATTGAATTTATACCCCGCCCTTCACTTGGAGTCTCAGAGCGGCTTACAAACTCCTTTCCCTTCCCCTCCCCACAACAGACACCCTGTGAGGTGGGCGGGGCTGAGAGAACTCTGACACAAACTGCTCTTTTTCAAGGACAGCTGTGCCAGAGCTTGTGACTGACCCAAGGTCACATCAGCAGGTGCAAGTGGAGGACTGGGGAATCAAACCCGGTTCTCCCAGATTAGAGTCCGCGCACTTAACCACTACACCAAACTGGCTCTCTCCTTTGTGGCAGAAACTCGTGGATGCATTCATTCCCCTCTCCCAGTCCTTGGGGTGCCAACCTCCAACCTGGATATCTCGCAAAATTACAACTGATCTCCACAGAACAGAAAAAGAAGAGTTGGTTTTACTCCCCACTCTTCACAACCCGAAGGAGTCTCGGAGTGGCTTACGATCTCCTTTCCCTTCCCCTCCCCACAACAGACACCTTGTGAGGTCGGTGGGGCTGAGAGAGCTCTTTCGAGGACTGCCCTTGAGAGAACTTGTGGCTGACCCAAGGTCACACCAGCAGCTGGATGTGGGGGAATCAAACTCGGTTCTCCCCAATTAGGGTCCGTTGCTGTTAACCGCAACAGCAAGGTGAGAAATCTGGTCTCTGGACGACACTATCCCCAGTAGACCGACTCACCTTAGAAACGTCCACCATTGCATTAACCTGATCACGGATCTTGCGGTGCTTCATCCGCACATGCCGGAACCTGCGAGGAGGATAAAGTGAGAACCTCCAACCATTGAAAAACATCCCCCCCACACACACACATGCTTCTTCCCTCCCCGGTGCAACGAAACTGACACAAAACAAATACCGCTGTCCCCCACGCACCTTCCTTAGGAAACCCTGGTGTTGGGTATTACAAGTTGAAAACACTCAGTACATCTGGGGTTAAATGTTTGTTTATGTTACTCACAGGAAGTCACATGTTTCTCATGTAACCAATGTTGTTTAGCTGTAAGAAGCCCCAGAATTTTCTCCCTGATCTACGAGTTTGATTGGGACGAAAGTGTCAAAGTGTTTTAGCATTTTATGGCTCCTCTTCCCGTCTTTGTTTGCTGTTCTCAAGAAGAAGTAAGAGTAGCCATAATTGCTCTCTCTTCTAGTTTTGTCTTTGTAGTGTAAGGATTTAGCTCTGTTGTTATTTTCATCCCAGTACCCCTTCCCCACGCTAGAATTTAGTAAAAACTTTATATTTTAATCACACGTGGACTGAATTATTTTACTCTGGCTCTGCTGGACTATATTATCTCTGCTACATACCATTTTTTCAATATCTCACTATCGAAACCCAACACCTGGGAACGACAGTTTGGGGAGTGTACTTGCTTAGTTGCCCTACTCTGGATCGCTCGGGCTACCTCATCAGATCTCAGAAGCGAAGCAGGCTCAGCCCTGGTTAATACTTGGGTGGGAGACAAGCAAGAATGTCCAGGGTCCCTACGCAGAGGCAGGCAATGGCAAACCACCCCGAACATCTCTTGCCTTGAAAAGCCCACGGGGTCACTGTCAGTCAGCTGTGACTTGACGGCCAAACTCCCTCCCCCGGCCGCCATATTTTAACAAAAAACACACCAGCAAACATGTTTCTCATGTAACCAATGTACTTTAGCTGTAAGAAGCCCCAGAATTTTCTCCCTGATCTACGAGTTTGATTGGGACGAAAGTGTCAAAGTGTTTTAGCATTTTATGGCTCCTCTTCCCGTCTTTGTTTGCTGTTCTCAAGAAGAAGTAAGAGTAGCCATAATGGCTCTCTCTTCTAGTTTTGTCTTTGTAGTGTAAGGATGTAGCCGATTTAGCTCTGTTGTTATTTTCATCCCAGTTACCCTTCCCCACGCTAGAATTTAGTAACAACTTTATATTTTAATCACACGTGGACTCTGAGTCTGAATTATTTTACTCTGGCTCTGCTGGGCTATATTATCTCTGCTAAATACCATTTTTTCCAGTATCTCACTATCAAAACCCAACACCTGGGAATGACAGTTTGGGGAGTGTACATGCTTTGTTGCCTTACTCTGGATAGCTCAGGCTATCAGATCTCAGAAGTGAAGCAGGCTCAGCCCTGGTTAATACTTGGATGGGAGACGAGCAAGAATGTCCAGGGTCCCTACGCAGAGGCAGGCAATGGCAAACCACCCCGAACATCTCTTGCCTTGAAAAGCCCACGGGGTCACTGTCAGTCAGCTGTGACTTGACGGCCAAACTCCCTCCCCCGGCCGCCATATTTTAAAAAAAAACACACCAGCAAACCTTTCCTTGTACCAAGAACGGCAACCAGGGCCAAGGTCGTGTTCGGTGCTAATCTCGAATGATTTCCCTGCCTTATTGTTCACTAGTAACGTTTAATCACTCCATGCTTTGAAATCCACCCTTCTCCAATAAGCACGCTTGGGGAAAGAGGCAGGGTGGAGGAGGGGTAAGCCACCGTTTGATTCCTGCCAGGACTGAATCGGCCCTCAGAGAGCTGGGGGTGGATTTCAAGGACGCCTCCCACTCCTTCCAGCCCTTTCCTTGGAAACTGCTCCCTCAAACCCCCCCGCCCATACATTTGACCTGGCCGGCCCAGCTGCCGCCGAAGATATCCCAGAATTCCTAGGTGCAGCCGCGTCCCCTGACATCTAGATTGAACGGGTCTGGATTAATGACTCGCCTGCAGGCGCCACGCCAACAGCATCAAAGATCGGTGAAACCCTAGAGCGCCCGTAACGTCACTTCCGGGTTTTAGCAGGAAGTGGAGCCAACATGTCAACAATACCTCCCCCCCCCCCAAGTCTCTTGGGGGTTCTAGCCCCGGCCAGGCACCTTCCCAGCACGGTTGTGACAGTAGCAAGCCCTGTCCCAGCTCTCCTGTCTATACTGCAGGGGTCTGAGCCAACCAGGCAGCCAAACAGTCTCCCAGCCCTTTCTGGCTCTAAACACCAGGCCCTCTTAGGTTAGGCAGCTGGACTCAGGTGTCCCCCCCACTGCAGGGGTCTGATCCAACTAGGCAGCCAAACAGTCTCCCTGCCCTTTTTGGCTCTAACGACCAGGCCCTCCTAGGTTAGGCAGCTGGACTCAGGTGTCCCCCCAGGGCACACTTACCTGTGGATAGCTGATAGCAGTTTCCGATGGTGCTGGCGCGCCCTTCGCCCGTCCTTCCTTTTTGTGTGTTTGTATAGCAGCCAAGCCTCCTGCAGCACATTGGCAGCTGAATATTTCATCTGGGAGTCAACAAGAGAAGGGCCCTGCTGGGTCAGAGCGGTGGTCCATCTAGTCCAGCATCCTGTCTCACAGTGGCCAACCAGTTCCTCTGGAGGGCCAACAACAGGGCAGAGAGGCTAAGACCTTCATAAGAACCTAAAAAGGACCCTGCTGGATTAGACCAGTGGTCCATCTCGTCCAGCATCCTGTCTCATGCAGTGGCCAACCAGTTCCTCTGGAGGGCCAACAACAGGGCAGAGAGGCCAAGACCTTCATAAGAACCTAAAAAGGACCCTGCTGGATTAGACCAGTGGTCCATCTCGTCCAGCATCCTGTCTCACAGTGGCCAACCAGTTCCTCTGGAGGGCCAGCAACACGGCAGAGAGGCCAAGACCTTCATAAGAACCTAAAAAGGACCCTGCTGGATTAGACCAGTGGTCCATCTAGTCCGGCATCCTGTCTCACAGTGGCCAACCAGTTCCTCTGGAGGGCCAACAACACGGCAGAGAGGCCAAGACCTTCATAAGAACCTAAAAAGAACCCTGCTGGGTCAGAGCGGTGCTCCATCTAGTCCAGCATCCTGTCTCACAGTGGCCAACCAGTTCCTCTGGAGGGCCAGCAACATGGCAGAGAGGCCAAGACATTCATAAGAACCTAAAAAGGACCCCGCTGGATTAGACCAGTGGTCCATCTAGTCCAGCATCCTGTCTCACAGTGGCCAACCAGTTCCTCTGGAAGGCCCAACAACAGGGCAGAGAGGCCAAGACCTTCATAAAAAGGACACTGCTGGATTAGACCAGTGGTCCATCTCGTCCAGCATCCTGTCTTGCACAGGGGTCAACCAGTTGTCCTGGGGGGCAAGATGGTTGAGGCCCTACCCTGAAGCCGTCCCCCAGCACTGGTAGTCTGAAGTTTAAGAACCTAAGAAGAGCCCTGCTGAATCAGACAAGTGGTCCATCTAGTCCAGCATCCTGTTTCTCAGAGGCCAACCACTTGCCCCAGAGGGCCAACAAACAACATAAAAAAACCAAGGCCTTCTCTTAATGTTGCCTCCTAGCTGATTGCCTCTGGATGTGGTGGTTCCCTTTAGTCTCCATGGTTTTGGTTTAAGAACAGAAGAAGAGCCCTGCAATCAGACCAGTGGTCAGGCCCATAATTACCATGGGGCTTAAAGAAGAAGAAGAAGAAGAGATTGGATTTATACCCCGTCCTTCACTACCCAAAAGTGTCTCAGAGTGGCTTACAAACTCCTTTCCCTCCCCCTCCCCACAACAGACACCCTGTGAGGGAAGTGGGACTGAGAAAGCTCTGACAGAAACTGCTCTTTTTCAAGGACAGCTGTGCCAGAGTTATGGCTTACCCAAGGTCATCCAGCCAGGTGCATGTGGAGGAGCGGGGAATCAAACCCAGTTCTCCCAGATTAAAGTCCGCGCACTTAACCACTACACCAAACTGGCACAGCCCCACAAAAAATTTCTCCTGTAAATCGTTTTTTCAATCATTTTAAACAATTTCTTTAAAGGTGTGCACTCCTTTAAGCAGAGTGGGATTTGACTGTAGTTGACTAATTCCCGCACTGATCAAGGGGGTTGGAGTAGGTGACCTCTAGGATACCTTCTAACTCTGTGTCAAGAAACTGGTCTCCTTTAAGGGAGTTTTCCCGCCTAAGGGTTAGCTCTCTTGACTATAGAAGCCATCACCCCCACCTGCCGGCTTGTCATCAGAATTGTTGCTTAGGCGGGCAAAAGTGATTAACTTGCAGCAACTGAGAACTGTCATCTGAAGTGGTTGACAGCTTGCAATTCAGAGATCTATCCAGGTCACAGATTTCTATTGGTTTTCCTGTCCACACTGAGAACTTCAGCCCCACCAGGAAAAAAAAAATTGTCCCACAAGCCACAAAATCCTGTCTACGTGCCTGCCAGTGGTCCATCTCGTCCGGTGTCCTGTCTCACGCAGTGGCCAACCTGTTTCTCTGGAGGGCCAACAACAGGGCACAGAGGCGAGGCCTTCCCCTGATGTTGCCTCATGGCTCTGGGATTCAGAAACTTGCTGCCTATATATATATGGAAGTCCCTTTTAGTCACCAGGGCTAGTGGCCACTGATGGACCTATCTTCTCGGGTTGCCCAACTTGACAACAAGTAGGAGTCCGAGTGGGTCAGGGTCCCTCAGAGTCAGCACAGGAAACTCATACTGAGTCAGATCTGTGGTCCGTCTTGCTCAGAACTGTTTCTTCTGACTAACAGCAGCTCTCCAGGGTCTCGGGCCACTGGAGAAAGAAGAGACTGGGCATGCGGGGATTGTGTTCTGCTACGCAGACCACTCTGATCCCTCGCAACAGTGAAGGTGGATGGTCCGGTTTACCTCTTTGGTGCACTCCCGGCTTTACCTTGAAGATCGGGGGTGACCCTTGGGCCCGTTCCATATTCTCAGCATAATTTACCTCACAGAGTTGTTGTCAGGGCAGTCGGAGAGATTCTGGGCAGAGGGTTTCCAGGGGACCCCTCCCCTCTTTGGCCCACCGCTGGGCCCCCTCGCAAACCCTCCTTTTCTCTACCCCACACAAATGTCTCCCACATCTTGACACGTCCTTCCCCAGCCCACATTTGAGAAGGAGGAGGAGAAGAGGAGGAGGAGAAGGAGGAGGAGGAGTTTGGATTTATATCCCGCACTTCACTAGCCAAAGGAGCCTCAGATCGGCTTACAATCTCCTTCCCTCCCCTTCCCCACAACAGACACCCTGTGAGGGAGGTGGGGCTGAGAGAGCTCTCTTGAGAACTCCCCTTGAGAGGACAGGTGTGAGAGAACTTGTGACGGACCCAGACATTTTTAACCCCTCCCCCCGGTCGGTGTGTCGATGCAAGGCAGATTTACACACACACTACCTCGGTTCAGTAATATAACTTGGGCTCACGATGAAGGTTGAGGACAGCCCCCCCCCCATGTGGTCCTCATGGGCCCCATGTTGCCCAAGTGTTCCTATATAGAGGGCAGGGCCAGGCGAGGCAGTTTAAAAAGCATCCTGTTAAACAGAGCTACTACCTTAAATGCTGAAAAATTACTAAAAGAGTTATGCACAACCTCATTTCCTGATACTTTGCGGTTGGTTCCGCCTCCTGCAGCAGCCATTTTATTTTTGTGCCCACCATCCTGCGTCAGATTTCCAAAGGTGCCCACAGGCTGAAAAGGGCTGGGGGGCCCAGGTTTAAAAGGTGTGTTCAAGGACCAACTCTCCATCGACCGTCTTTGAGTTTGGTCTTCATAAATTTCAGCGGTCTCCCAGATGGAATTGTTATCTCATCCTACGCTAACCCACCAAGGATTTCTGCACGGACATTTTTGTGACTCTGAATGACAGTGATACTTAGCAATACTCTGCGTTACATTCTTGCATACTGGGTCTTTCAACTGCTCTATGGTCTCCTCTGAGACTGAGGTCTGTTACAGCATTAGGAATATGCATTCAGATAAAAGGTAAAGGTAAAGGTTGCTTTATGTAAGTTCATCTGCTTGCTCGAAAGCCAGTCGAGTCCGACTCTAGGGTTGCGGTGCTCATCTCCGTTTCAAAGCCGAAGAACCAGTGCTGTCCGAAGACGTTTCCGTGGTCATGTGGCCGGCATGACTAAACACCAAGGCGCACGGAACGCTGTTACCTTCCCACCGAAGGGGTACCTATTTATCTACTTGCAATTTCTTGCTTTCGAACGGCTAGGTTGGCAGGAGCTGGAACTAGAGAACTAGATAGCTCTGTTTTATGTTGCTTTTATGCTCTGACATGTTTCTATTGCCCTGTCTCGGCTTTTATTTATGTTTTGCTGTTTTACTTGTAAGCTGCTTTGCACAGCTTCTGGAGAAGTGGCATACAAATTTTCTAGGCAAATATAATTCGTACAATATTTTGTACAGCCAACGTGGTGTAGTGGTTAAAGTGTCTGACTAGGAACAGGGAAATCGAGGCTCAAGTGCTCACTCGTGCCATGGAAGTTTGCTGGGTGACCTTGGGTTAGTCACATCCTCTCAGCTTAACCTACCTCACAGGGTTGTTGTGAGAAGAAGAAGAGATTGGATTTATACCCTGCTCTTCACTTGGAGTCTCAGAGCGGCTTACAAACTCCTCTCCCTTCCCCTCCCCAGAACAGGGCTGAGAGAGCTCTTTTGAGAACTGCTCTTGAGAGAACAACTCTGAGAGAACTATGGCTTGCCCAAGGTCATCCAGCTTTACAACAGTTGAAGGAAATTGATGAATAGTGTAGACCATATATAACTTAACATCAAATAAAGCTCCAAAGTATTCCAATTCCTAAACAATTCTTGTTATATAAATGTTCTTATTTAAATATACTGTTCAAAACAATTGGTACACAGACAAGTTAAGAACTTGAAGGAAACTTTACAATCCCAGAAAAAAACTTCACTGTTCCAAAATGGAGAAAAAGGCTTCTCAATTCCAAACGGGAAAAAGAAAAATGTCCATGAAGCAAGTGACTCCAGTCCAGTTTGCCTCAAGACCTCCATGCTTTTATTTTATTTTCAAGATGTTTTTAACCCCCACCTTTCCTTTCAAAATTTTAAAGGACACAAATTTTTAAAATATCAATTCCCAACAATTTAATCCTTATATGACAATATAAAAGCCACAAGAGTAAGGATTAGAACATTTGGACGTCCTTGGGGAAAGAGACTGAAGGTGACCGCCTCAGAGGCAAAACGGAGTCGTTTCCCAGAATTCTCCTCTCTGAATGTCAATGTTGACTAGTCACCAGATATTGCTGAATATCTTTCATTTCAGTGTGGGATACCTGCCTTCCCGGTTTGACTGGACTATTTGCTCTTTGATTGTCCGGTGGCTGACACGCATCGTTTAATAGTTGACAACATTTCATAATGACATGCAGTGATATTTGGAAGTTGGCCGTTTCTCCCATTTTATATTTTCCCAGTTGCTGCTTCAGTGCTTTCATTGTATTTCACACTATGTAGGCTTTTTAAAAAAAAATTGGGGTTTTTTTTGGTACTTTATGTAAGTTCATCTGCTTTTATTGCATTTCTGTCTAAATGCAACCTTTAAATATTCTCACAGTAAGGTTACTGGATTTTAGTTACATACATACATACATACATACATACATACATACATACATACATACATGGGTCATTTCCTGCAGGAGCAGAGCTCCGGCAGTAAAGAGCCCAGAAGGCGGGCACATGCAAGAAGCCCCACCCCCTGCTCCCAGCAGCCCTCAGTCAGAGCAAGAAGCAGCCAGGTAAGTTGCAGAGCCCCCCGGACCAAAACAGTCCAGTGGCACCTTTAAGACCAAGTTTTATTCAGGTACAAGCTCTCCCTCCTCTGCAAGGACAGATCTGCACGCCCCCCCCCCACACACAATAGCTAGCAATCCAAAACCGTCCAGTGGAGCCTGAGTGGTGGGTGTTGCCTTCTGACACACTTCCGGTGATGTCAGAGGGTGTGGCATATGCAAATAAGTTATGCTAATGAGCTCCTGCACCTCTTTTTCTACAAAATGACCCCTGCATACATATATAATTAACCATGTCCATATGGCTCAGTAGTAGAGCATCTTTCTTGGCATGCAGAAGGTCTCAGGTTCAATCCCCGGCACCTCCAGTCCACCCCCAGGGGGAAGGCAACCAGGCCTGGCAACTGTAGTATACAGTGCTGCCACTTACCATAACGCCGGTGAACAGGCACACCATCTTTCCACACACCGTGACTGGCACCACGTCCCCGTAGCCGATGGTTAGGAACGTGATGGGAATCAGCCAAACCGTTTTGCCCAGGTAGTCTTCGTCGTCCATGTCCTGCCTGTCGGGTGGAAGCGAGAGAGACACATCAGGAAACCATCTTCCATTGGGGCATTGGGGGGGGGGGGCACATGGCGAAATGAAATCCACATCGCTCATCATAACCCTAAAGTGAGCTGGCATTAGGGTTTCCAGCTCCATATTGGGAAATACCTGGAGATTTGGGGGGGTGGGATTTGGGGAGGGGAGGGACTTGAGCGGGGTAGAATGCCGTAGAGTTCACCCTCCAAAGCCTCCATCTTCTCCAGGGGAACAGATCTCTGTTGCCGGGAGATCAGCTGTGATCCAAGAAGAGCTCCAGCCGCCACCTGGAGGTCGGCAGCCAATGCTCCCCCCAAGCTGTGGAAGTCTTGTGAGCAAAAATTCTACTTTGTGAGCCGCCGGCATTAAAGTTGAGAGTGAGCGATTTGCAGGGCTTGTTTTGTAGAAAAAAGCCCAGCAGGAACTCATTAGCATGTTAGGCCACACCCCCAAGCCTTCCCTTGGCTTGCCCAGGCAAGCCCCCCTTGAAGGGAAGGGAAGGCAGTTTAAACTGCCTTCCCTTGGCTTGCCCAGGCACCCCGTGGCTGTGGGGAGCCCGGGCAAGCTAGCCCTTGGACAAGCCAGGGAAGGCACGGGGAGGCATTTAAATGCATCCCCGGTCCTTCCAGGCCCCCCCGGCCCACCCACCACAGAGTCGATGGGGGGGTCGCTCTCCAGGCCTTCCCTCCGTAGCCACATGCGCAGAGGTTTTGGCTGTAGTGGGCGTGGCCAACTCTGAAGCCAGCCGGAACTCCATCCCTGTCCGTTCCTGCCCAAAAATAGCCCTGGCGATTTGGCTGCTGCATCAATTAGTTGGCTCTGGACTGCCGTCCTCCTTGAGCTATGGTAATAATGTGTGAGCCGGAGGCTAAAAAACTGTGAGCTAGCTCACACTAACCCAGCTTAGAGGGAACACTGGTTGGCAGCTCTAGCTGGTAGACCGCTTAGGCTGCCAGCAAAACTCTGCATTGGTGTAGCTCAGAGGTAAGAAGCCATCTGGGCTCCCGATTGGCTCTGCCTGTGCACCTTCCCATCATGCACCGGGGGACATGCCAGTTCTCCAGCTTTGAGCAGAAGACTGCGGGTTCTCAGGCTATTGGCTGCTTTGAAATACAACTCAAGGAGTTTGCCCATTTTTTAAATCAGGGACACCTAACCAGTAATAAAATGTTTATTCCCCACACATATTTAGGGTGAAAGAGATGTAGGCTTGTTGTTTACCCAGCTTGGCCGCAATCATAAGAACATAAGAACATAAGAGATGCCAATGTTGGATCAGGCCAAAGGCCCATCCAGTCCAACACTCTGTATCACACAGTGGCCAGAAATACCAGGGGCCATCAGGAGGTCCACCAGTGGGGCCAGGACATTAGAAGCCTTCCCACTGTTGACCCCCCCAAGCACCAAGAAGACAGAGCATCACTTGCCCCAGAGCCCCTATCTATACCTTGTGGCTAATAGCCACTGATGGACCTCTGCTCCATATGCTTATCTAATTCCCTTTTGAAGCCATCCATGCTTGTAGCCGCGCCACCACTTCCTGTGGCAGTGAATTCCAAGTGTTAATCACTCTTTGGGTGAAGAAGTACTTCCTTTTATCCATTCTAAACCTACCGCTCAGCAATTTCATGGAGTGCCCACGAGTTCCCCCACCTTTGATTATTTGAAGGGCAGGAAAAATTTCGGGTCGGGGGATAGCATTGGTGGTAATGCTCCAGGAATTCCCCCAAAGAGTACAGAACTATATTATAATGAATAAATTTATATACGAAAAATCTAAGTATATTTTATCGGGTTGAATATAAACGTCATTAAGAAATATTCAGCATAATAAAATAGACTTAGATTTTTTTCATCTATAAGTTTATTCGTTATCATATAGTTCTGTACACAGTATAGCTTTCTCTTCTTTTTCTTTTCCTCTCCATCCTGTTAACGTGTTCCCTATTTCTTTAGCTTCTGTTTAATAGGATGCCTTTTAATCTGTGCAACCAATCAGAAGCCCCGCTGGGCAAGCTCCACTTAGCCCCGCCCAATTTCTAAAAGCACTTGGCGGGCGCCACATTGGGGACCCCTGTCCTAGACTGACACTCCAACCACTATGCGACACTGCCACTCCCAGACTGATTGCAAGTTTTCGTGGTCCTGAGCTCTGCTGATGAAACAAACTTCTGGCTCTCGAAACCTCGCACAATACACGGTCATACCAGGGGAGTCGCCAGTTAACCTGTCACAGCAAAATCAAACAGGAGCCTAGAGGGTTCCTTCCAGAGTAATAAGATATATTCTGGCCTGAGGTTTTGTGAGTCAGAGTCTCGCTTCCTCGGATGCATCAGGCTTTGACTCATGACATGTCTGCTCATCACAGAAGAGATGTCGCCGGACTTTAGGGTGCTGCTGGACTTTTCTGCTTTATTTCACAACAAACAAGTTAGAAGAAGAGAAGAAGAAGAGATTGGATTTATACCCCGCCCTTCACTATCCAAGGGAGTCTCAGAGCGGCTTACAAACTCCTTTCCCTTTCTCTCCCCGCAACAGACACCCTGTGAGCAATGTTCCCTTTAAGCTGTGGAGTCTTGCGAGCAAAAATTCTACTTTGTGAGCTACCAGCATTAAAGTGGTGAGCGAGCAATTTGGCTGCTGCATAAATTAGTTTGCTCTGCAGCCGTCCTTCCTGAGCGAAGACAAACATGTGTGAGCTGGAGGCTAAAAAACTGTGAGCCAGCTCACACTAACTCAGCTTAGAGGGAATACTGCCTGTGAGGTAGGTGGGGCTGAGAGAGCTCTTCACAGAGACTGCTCTTTTTCAAGAACAGCTCTGAGAGAACTATGGCTTGCCCAAGGTCATCCAGCAGCTGCAAGCCTCACTTGGTCAGAACTCTCCGTCATCGTTTGCTCTCCCCTTGTTCCCCACGATCCCTTTGGGCCTTTAAGAGGTTGGGAAGATCCAGAATCAATTCACTTCGTCTATAAACTTTGTGAGTGAATGCCGACTGATGAGAGACCACTTTGGAGATTTTGTGTCCGTGGTTACAGCTTTGGCTGTTTGATTCTGGATTGTCCCAACCTTGAGGAAACCAGGGGTGAAACCGGCGTTCCAAGTCGACCGCTCGTCGCCGGGACTGTTTATCTTTCTACCGTATGAATCACGGATGTTGGAAATATCCTTTGAGAACTTTAAAAAGCATTGTCTCTTAAAGTTTGGGAAAGATGGAATATTATTTGCGAATCTCCATTTTACATCGATAAGTTTTTGAACGGGACTTCTACGGTGCCCTATGAACTTGTCTTATGGCTTCATTGAGGATTCAGTTGGGTATATAAGAATTGTGTCTTTGAAGACCAATGAACATATTGGAAACTTACATTAGTAATTTGGTCACAAGTGCCTGTGTGGTTTTGTTGCTAAACCTCCAGGCAGAGCCTGCAATTATTGCAGAATGACCACTGGTCTCCAGAGAAGAAGAGAAGAAAAAGAGATTGGATTTATACACCACCCTTCACTACCTGAAAGAGTCTCAGAGCGGCTTATTTATTTATTTATTTATTATATTTATACCCCGCCCATCCTGCGAGCAGGCTTAGGGCGGCTAACAAAGCGGTACAATGTACCTAATTGGCATACCATAAAAATCTTAAAACTCTATAAAAAAACATACTCAATTCAAGACATAAATTAACAATTAACAGTAAAGTGCATACAGTACTGAAGATTAGATGGCATGCATTCCAGATCTCAATCTGCGTTATTCATCTAATCATCATCCCTCACGCCGATAGGCCTAGCGATATATCTGGGCCAGACCTAGGATCCAAGCATTCACTAGGATCATTGATGGTAACAGTAGTGGTGGCTCCTATTGAAAGGCCTGGTGGAAGAGCTCCGTCTTACAGGCCCTGCGGAACTGTAGAAGGTCCCGCAGGGCCCTGATCTCCTCTGGGAGCTCGTTCCACCAGTAAGGAGCCGCCACAGAAAAGGCTCTGGTCCTGGTACTGGTGAACCTTGCATCCTTGGGGCCCGGAATAGTCAATCGGTGTTGGGCCCCAAACCGTAGTGCTCTCTGGGGCATATATGGGGAAAGGCGGTCCCTCAGGTAGGTCGGTCCCTGGTCATATAGGGCTTTAAAGGTAAGCACCAGCACCTTGAAACGAATCCGGTATGCTATAGGCAGCCAGTGCAGTGACCTAAGCACTGGCTGGATGTGCTCCCGCCGTGGGAGGTCCATCAACAGCCTGGCCGCGGCGTTCTGCACTAGCTGCAGCTTCCGGATTTGGGACAAGGGCAGCCCCATGTAGAGAGCATTACAGTAGTCAAGTCTCGAGGTGACCATCGCATGGATCACCGTCGCCAGGTCGCGGCGGTCAAGGAAGGGAACCACCTGCCGAACCAGCTAAAGGGAACCAAATGCCGAACCAGCTTACCATCCCCTTTCCCTTCCCCTCCCCACAACAGACACCCTCTGAGGTAGGTGGGGCTGAGAGAGCTCTTTCAAGGACTGCTCATCATGACAGAACAGCTCAGAGAGAACTTGTGACTGACCCAAGGTCACACCAGCAGCTGCATGTGGAGGAGCGGGGAATCAAACCCAGTTCTCCACGATTACAGTCCACGCTCCTAACCACTACACCACACTGGCTCCCCAGCCTCCACCCCCAAACCTCCAGAGCTGGCGGCCCTCTCACCTTTCGCAGACAGACAAGACCCAAAAGGCGATGATCCAGAGCCCCACGATGAAGGTGAGCAGCACCCGCCCCGGCTGGCTGTTGACCATCACCCGCAGCACGAAGGGGTACTGGAAGTGGATCTTGTTGAGGGAGCCGATGCTGCGGTAGGAGGCGTCGCCCAGCACGCTGCTCCGCAGGAGCACGGCCCGCGGCACCAGGTAGAGGCGGAGGAACATGAGCAGGGAGAGGATCAGGTCGGCGTCCGAGAGGAAGACGAACGTCTTGGTGGGTTTCGGGTCCAGGCAGGGGGAGTCTCCCAGGGGGAAGGGGTGGAGGGAGCAGACCAGGAGCTCCAGCGCCAGGAGGCCCAGCTTGGAGGAGCTGACCGCAATCTGCCAGTCGCCCAGGGAGTTGTCCAGCATGAAGAGCTAGGGAGGAGAAGGCAGAGAAGACAGGGTTGCCAACACCTTTGGGAAATTTCTTTCCCCCCCCCCAAAAAAAAGGTTTTATTAGGGAATAAAGAAGAAGAAGAGATTTATACCCCGCCCTTCCCTACATGGAGGAGTCTCAGAGCGGCTCACAATCCCCTTCCCCTTCCCCACAAGGTAGGTGGGGCTGAGAGAGCTCTCCCGAGAACTGCCCTTGAGAGAACAGCTCTGAAAGAACTTGTGACCAGTGTTCCCTCTAAGACGAGTCCGTATGAGCAAGCTCACAGTTTTTTAGCCTCCGATTCATAGATTTTTGTCTCCGCTCGGGAAGGAGGGCTCCAGAGCAAACTAATTTATGCAGCAGCCAAATCGCTCGCTCACTACTTTAATGCCAGTCGCTCACAAAGCAGAATTTTTGCTCACAGGACTCCACAGCTTAGAGGGAGCATTGCCTGTGACTGACCCAAGGTCCCCCAGCTGTCTTCATGTGGAGGCGTGGGGAATCAAACCCAGTTCTCCCAGATTAGAGTCCGTGCTCTTAATCACTACACCAAACAGAACAGCAGTACAATATCCAGAGATACAAGCCATGAAGTGACAATCCAACAGAAAAACAATACACCTTAAGCAAATAGTTTGCTAACAATGTGAACACAGAGATAGGCAAAAAAACCATATAAGCCTGTAATGTGTGATGGATACAGATGAGAAGTCATACACCTGAACAGAGATAAAGCTCTGTCTAACATGAGGAGTCCCGAATTGGTGTCAACAGGTTAAAAATAAATCTCAGATACTCCGAAACAAAATCTATCTAGAGGTGGTCAGAATGACATTGTATGTATATGATACCCCATACTAGTACATACTAGACCCGAGTTGCTGCATGACAGAGTGAGCTCCCGTCTCTAGTTCCAGCTCCTGCCAACCTAGCAGTTCGAAAGCAAGAAATTGCAAGTAGATAAACAGGTACCCCTTCGGTGGGAAGGGAACAGCGTTCAGTGCACCTTGGTGTTTAGTCATGCTGGCCACATGACCACGGAAACGTCTTCGGACAGCGCTGGCTCTTCGGCTTTGAAACGGAGATGAGCACCGCAACCCTAGAGTCAGACTTGACTGGCTTTCGAGCAAGGGAACCTTTACCTTTTTACTACTACATCTATCTACCAAAGAAACAGTACCTGATGTAATAAACATTCTGCATCTATGGTAATTTTCCAACTGTATAATACCAACAAACTGTACGAAATGTATGAAGCCACTGAGAGCTGACTATGATCATGCTTACCTTGTAAATCTTTCCTGTTTATGAAAAAAAATAAAAATTATCTGCCATGTATGTTAATTTGGATTGGAGGGATATATATTGCAGAACTGGAAACCAGGTATGTACAAATTTGGAGGGAACCTTGCCGGAGCCATTATGCGAGTGGTCTGGGGAGTTGGAGATCTTGCATGTAATGGTCCCAAATTTTGTCATGCCAAGCTGTCATGGTCGGGGGTGTTGGAGATTTCCAAACAGGTGCTATCGTCAATCTAGAATCGAGGTGAATTCCGTAAGATTGTTTTCCCATGCCGATGGATCTCTTCAGTTTAAGAGAGAGAATTCTGGACTAGTCGGGAGCGTTTGCCAGGGGATCTCCTGGTTTGGAGCCCCTCCCCCCACTTCAGGGCTGTCAGAAAGCAGGAGGGGAATGACTGCTGGACACTCCATTATACTCTATGGAGACTGGTCCCCATACGGTATAATGGAGAATCAATCCATGGGTATCTGGGTATCTGGGGCTCGGGGGGCTGTTTTTTGAGGTAGAAGCACAAAATTTTCAGTATAGCTGGTGATGCCCCTCCTGGAAAAACACCCCATGTTTCAAAAAGATTGGACCAGGGGGTCCAGTTCTATGAGCCCCAAAAGAAGGTGCCCCCCATCCCCCATTATTTCCAATGGAGGGAAGGCATTTTGAAAGGAATGCTTAAATGTGACAGCCAGAACTCCCGGCTTGTCAGCCTCACCTCGCCCCACCCTCAAAGCCCCCAGATATTTCATGAGTCGGACCTGGCAACCCTAGTTCTAGCTCTTTTAGCGTTATGCACCACTAGGTTGCGAGCTAGACTTAAGAAGAGGGGTAATTTTTTACTTGAAAGAGGAGTAAAAGAGAATAAAACCAACACCGTTGGGGGCGGCTGCTGAAACGATGTTGTGTTCATCTGCACAGCCAATCAAATCTCTAGTGGCCAATCAGAAGCCCTGCTAGGCAAGAACCCCACATGGCCACACCCACTTTCTTAGAACACTTGGTGGGCACCAGGAAAGGTATCGACGGGGCACCGTTTTGGGGACCCCTGTCCTCAGGGGTCATTTCGTAGATAAAGAGGTGCAGGAGCTCATTAGCATAACTCATTAGCATAACTTATTTGCATGTGCCACACCCCCTGACATCACCAGAAGTGTGTCAGAAGGCAACACCCACTGCTCAGGCTCCACTGGACTGTTTTGGATTGCTAGCTATTGGGGGGGGGACGAGCAGATCTGTCCTCGTAGAGGAGGGAGAGCTTGTACCGGAATAAAACCTGGTCTTAAAGGTGCCACTGGACTGTTTTGGACCCCGGGGGGGGGGCGGGGATGGGCTCTGCAACTTACCTGGCTGCTTCTTGCTCTGACTGAGGGCTGCTGGGAGCAGGGGGCGGAGCTTGTTGCATATGCCCGCCCCCTGGGCTCTTTACTGCCGGAGCGCCGCTCCTGTGCGCTCCCGCAGGAAATGACCCCTGCCTGTCCTAGGGAAATCACTCTCTCTGACTCTACTCTGTTGCAGGGGGAGGAAATGGTCCGACTTCACAGGGCTGTTGTACGAATTACAAGAAGGTATTATACTTTCGATATAAATCCTGTGGATGCCAATTCCGGGAGGAGCTTTGGAGTATCTTTTTCCTCTTTCGCCCTTTTTTGAAACTAAGCTCAAAGGGAATGCAACCAGGAATACAGGAACGGCTGTTCTGTCGTTTAATTCGTTTGGGGCATTTGTGTCCCCGGGTGCAAACAGCGATTAGGGAGGTGTTTTGGCAGCTCAGGTATCGTTGAGAGCAGCCTGCACCCCTAGGCGTGCCTGTCTGTGTGACTCAAGCAGACACAATCTCTCGGCACTCCACAGGTTGATAATGCCTATGGAATTCCTGTCTCACCGCAAAGAGACTCTGTGCTTTTCGAGAAGAGCCGTTGGTGCATTTGAGTCACAGCCATGCCAACCAGGTCTACTCGGAATCCTACTCCAGGTCTGTTCAGTGGGGCTTACTCCCAGGAAAATTTTCTTAGGATTGGACGTACACAGGGCTATTTTTGGGCAGGAACGCAGTTCCGGCTGGCTCCCAAGTTGGCCACGCCCAGCAGGAACTCATTAGCATAATAGGCCACACCCAACAGCAGAAACTCATTATGATTGGCTACAATTAGGGGGTGTGGCCTAACATGCAAAGGAGTTCTGGCTCCCAAAAAAAAAAGCCCTGGGTTTTGACAACAAGGTAAAGAGAATAAGAAGCAAAAGGTGGGTGTGGTTGGATGACCACACTTCTGGTAACATGGGGGTGCGGCCTAATATGCTAATGAGCTGTGCGGTCGGGGGTGTGGTCTAATATGCTAATGAGTTCCTGCTGTTGGGTATGGCCTATTATGCTAATGAGTTCCTGCTGGGCTTTTTCTACAAAAAAAGCCCTGGACGTACACGCACGCATACACAGACAAGAAGGGATGTCTTTTCTAAGGGGTTCCAGAGGCAGGCCCGCAGCCAGGATTTTGCAGCTTGTGGGGCAAAACAAATTCCGGTGGGGCTGCCATTATTTTTTTGTCAGCTCCAATCCGCCCCCAAGCTCAAACGCCGGCAGCCACCCCTCTCCCTCCCTTCCTGCAAGATTTAAAAGCGGGATATAAACTCCTCAACCAACTAATTGTCTAGGTGGATTACTGCAGCCTTAATCAATTTATGGATTCACAGGTTTTCTTGTAAAAAAATCCCAAAACCTGACCCCCCCCAGGGTTCCCAGTCCCCAGATGGTGGTTGAAGATCTCCCAGAATTACAACTGGTCTCCAGGTTAGAGTAGGCTTGCCAACTCTATGGTTTTCCCTCGGATGGTCGTGGCCCCGCCCCCAGCGTGCCCGGCATCATCACGTCACTTCCGGGTAACGTGCGCTCCAGACGCCAGCCGGGAGTCTCCCGGCAACACCCGACTTGGCAACCCTAGGTTAGAGAGATCAGTTTCCGTAAAGAAAACAGCTGCTTCAGAAGGTGTACTCCATAGCATTATACCCCACTGGGGTCCCGCACCTCCCCAAACCCCGCCTTCCCCAGGCTCCACCCCCACAATCTCCAGGAATTTCCCAGCCCGGAACTGGCAACCCTACTGGACTTCAATCTAGCTCTTGCAAGAGGGTGCTTACCAGGGCTCTTTTTGTAGAAAAAGCCCACCAGGAACTCATTAGCATATTAGGCCACACCTCTGACAGTGCAACTCATTGGCATATTAGGCCACACCTCCATGTTACCAGAAGTGTGGTCATCCAGCCACACCCACCTTTTGCTTTTTATTCTGTTTACCTTGTTTGTTGTCCAAACCCAAGGCTTTTTTGTAGCAGGAACTCCTTTGCATGTTAGGCCACACCCCTAATGTAGCCAATCCTAATGAGTTTCTGCTGTTGGGTGTGGCCTATTATGCTAATGAGTTCCTGCTGGGCGTGGCCAACTTGGGAGCCAGCCAGAACTCCGTTCCTGTGCGTTCCTGCCCAAAAATAGCCCTGCTTATGGCAACATCCATAAACTGTCATCTGTGTGGCTGCCTGATAGAACTTGAGAGATACATTCTCCTAAATAAGTTATTATGTTTGCCGCAAGGGTTCTGATGGGACCCTTGAAAAATGCTGCTATTTTAAGAGTTTTATACTCACAATGCTCCCTCTAAGCTGTGGAGTCTTGTGAGCAAAAACTCTATTTTGTGAGCTACTGGCATTACAGCT